AAATTTAATTAATAATGGATCAAGAATTACGACTGTTACTGTATGTCTATTAAAATTCTGAACGTTCGTACTAGACCGGTCTGCCTTTTTATACAATAAAAATGACTGGTCAGCGATAAACAAATATTCGTGTGTAAAAGGTATTGCTTTTCTTGATACATTGTATGCGAATAGAACATTTCTTTGTTAACTGAATTATTTACTGACGAAGATCCTGGCTAGGCGATGGGTTAGGATCGTGGGATCACGGCTGGATGATGTTTTGCTGAGGTTGCATAGACAAGGCGTCTTTGTTGCAACAATGTTGTAGATTGGTTGCGTAGTGGCCTATTTAGAGGTGACCTTCGTTGTGGATTCGATATAACATACATATCAAACATCTCTTCTTATGAAACAATTGCATAATTCCGGCAAAATAATGGCGTTGTTCACATCCAGCTAGCAAGTATAATATTTTATTATATCATTCAATTTAAAACGCTGAAACCTTTGCAATGCTAGCTATTCAATTGGGCCACAGACGATTTCACAAATAGCTAAAAATGCATACTGCGACGTTTCCTCAAAGCGTATTCTCTGCTTTCATTTTATCAGCTATTAAGCCGAAAAATTTGATATATTATTGAAATGGTATTATTGCTATGCGAGTGAAATCTCCAGTCGTAATAAGGCAGCTTAGATAAGAAGGTAGACGCACAATTATATTACTGCATGACAAACAAAGGTGCGGCAAGATAGAACAAATAGTCACTGAATAATCAATTGACTGGAATAAGCAGAAAAGATACGGTAACGCCACGGAGAAGTGACAATATCTTCAATTAAAAACAAAATACAGTTAAACATTGCGTTTGAAAAGGTTCCAATTTTTAAACACGATCTGTTTAAGCCACATAATTCGACTTAAAGAACGGAAGGAATATAAAAATACAAACAAATTATACCGAAGGTTAGGAAAGAGGTAAAGAAATTGTAAAGAAACTGAACGATTTGAAAATCTTCAGTTGTTCAGTCTATTTAGTTTATTCAGAAAGATCGGGAACACAGTAGGAGTGCAGAAGAAAATGTGCGACGGACATTTTTCAAATGAAATAGCCGTATTAGGCTTCAAACATAATTCTAGTATACAGGAGACAATAATTCGAGGAACAAAACGGGTTAGTACCAAACAGATATAAGCATTTTGTTGAACAAAATAAAATTGAAACTCAGTGGAATATGGAATTCACGGCCCAAAACATATGAAACTGGGTAAATATGACATATACAGGGTGTCCCGAAATTAGATGGTCAAACTGAAACAGTAAAATCTGTTCTCAAAAATAATATCTATTAATTTTTCAAATGAACATATATCGAAAAATGCTCCCTGACGCAGCTACGCCTTCTTTAAGAGGGGCCCAGTAGTGGTTTTTTTTGTAAATTATTTCTAAACGGTTGAACTTCAAAACGTAAATTTCAGGCACTTTAGTAATTTTTATACGCAGAATCTAGGTCTGAAATCAAAACTATCAGAATTGAATCATAGACGTATCATGTGGGAGG